CCATTTTTAATTATAAGACCCATATCTTGAAGAAGGAAAAGAAGATTAATATCCATGAATCCAAATATTTTCATTTCAATTAAATGTTTAAAATACCACTAAACAGTATAGTTCAATGGATTACTTGGTAATTAATAATAAACAGAATTGTGTGTTCACAAGACAGCAATCAACCAACTTTCCAAGTGTATGAATCAAGGTGCTTCAACTTTCAGAAACTTTACGCTTCTTCGGGGTTTTGGGGCTTTTTGTTTTGTTTTGTTTTTTTCTTTGTCAGTGACATAGGGACAGATGAACATTTAGGAATTTGCAAAATGTATTTATAGATGAAAATTAACATTTTAAATGGGGGAATCTTTATTCAAGAGACAATGCATAGCTACATAATTAAGATTGATTTCTTTTTCTTTCTTTTTTTTGTAAACTTTACTGTGTATTTCCCACGAATGTGCCCCTTATAAATACATCCCCCCCCCCAAGGCTGCAGTTCCTGAAGCTTAAAGGCAACCAGCTGCCTCTTCGTGTAGATGGCCCTTACAACTGTAGCTCTGAGGTTGGAACCTAAGTTTTGACATTCTGTAGACCCTGGGTAAAGAAGTTCCATTTAGGTGTGTAGAGAGGAGGGCTCCGTCGAACAGCTGGAAGAGTTGCCGGCGTTAGAAGAAGAGCAGAAAGCAGGAGGGGGAGGAGATGGGGGTAATCCCACCCCAAGGTGGATGTACCAAAAAAAAAAAAAAAAAAGTGGTCACTCACTTTTACATCATTTTAAAAACCAGTTGCTACTTCTACTTTTCCAATGGGCACCTAATAATTCGCTTTATTTTCTGCTGTTACCTGATTTCTACTTTACCGGGATTGTATCATGAAGAAACACACAAATCTTAACCAGATGGATGCCATCTCCCCTGCTTTAATAACTTCAAAGTACGGGAACGGATAGTTGCACCTTCGGACAACTCCTAACGTAAAGTAATAAAGAAATTGCTTAGGACAGGAGGAGCGTGTTTACTAGTTAACAAGCTAGAGTTCCAGTTACCGAGCTTGGACTGCTCTTCTAATTGCTACTGGGGTGAAGATTTGGGTACTTGAGCCCAGACGCTGTTTGTGGCTTTCCAGAGCCCGGCACAGTATCTCAGGGAGCACGAATGCCAGAGAGTTTTTGTTTGGTTTGGGTTCTTTAGCGTTATGAGCTTATCCAAGTTGTTTTCTCTCAGTCCATTGAGTTTAACCCAACTGAGCCCACACCACTTCAAACCAGCGCAACCACAGTACCGCTGCCCTTCCAGAAGATCTGAGAGAACCTGAGGTGCAGCCTAAGACAAGATCTCTCCATTGTGCCGCCCGCCAGCCTACTCCTGCTGTAGGTGCTCTGGGGGCAGGGCAGTCCTCGCCCCAGGCACAGAGGCTCGCACTTACTGCTTGTTCAGCCATTGTCCTAGCAGGGCTCTGGAGGAGCTGTACTGGAGTGAGGCAGTATCAAGGCACCTTGTCAGTTCAAAGCATTTTAGGGTTGTTTGAAATCCTCTCCACGTCAGCGTAAGCAGCCGCAGTATTTGAACAGCTGCTTTGAACAGTGAAAAAGAACAAGCCGAATCAAAATCCGAAGGAGTCTACCCGAGACACCTTCGACGCTCTGGGTTTCGGACAGAGACAGGCAGGCAAACTGGGTCAGTAAGAACCAAGCTAGTGACTGTGGGACCAGAGAGAGGCCCCCATCTGGAGCTAAAATCTTCAAGAGCCAAGGTTTCTGGAATCCCCGAACTGCTGCACGCCGAGAAGGCGCGGGGGGGGGGCGGACTCCCAGATGCTCCCCACCCAGCGTTGGAGCCAACCAGGCCCCCAGCCACTAGCGGAGGCGGCCTTGGCTCCCTGAGGGGTGGAGAGGGGCGGTGCTCCAAGTAGAGCTGCGCTCCCAGCCCGGCCCTCCCCTTCACTGGCCCTACACTCCAGGCGGGGGCGAAAGCAGACGCGGAGGCCCCTTGGCGGGACACCATTTAGTACACTCGCGGGATTCAATAGGCATTCTAAGCCGGGTACAACTCTCCCCTCTAGACCGGCAGGGAAGCTTTCGGGCCATCCCTTTCGCACGCCAGCGAATGAGGCTGGGGCGGGGTGGAGTGCAGATCTGGGACGTCAAAGTGGGGAGGATCTGCTGGTATTAACAGACAGTGGAGTCCCACCACTATAAGTGCTGATATTCACGTGCCGACAATTCCTGCCCCCTTCACCACCACCACCCACCCATATGCACTTGCACTTAGCATCCAGTGTTGCCCCCTTCACCACCACCACCCACCCATATGCACTTGCACTTAGCATCCAGTGTTCAGGGTACCCCTGGAGGGGAATGGGCTGGATACCCAGAGGAGGTGCTCTTAACAGAGACCTGGGCAGCCACAAACACCTCGGAAATATATCCGGAAACCTAACTCTTTCCTTGAGGGTATCATCTTACGGGCTGCAAATATATATATATATATATATATATATATATGTGTGTGTGTGTGTGTGTGTGTGTGTGTGTGTGTGTGTGTGTGTGTGTGTGTGTGTGTGTGTGTGATTAAATATGAACAGGAGGACACCTGTCCTGAGGGCGGGGAAGAGAGACGCTCTCCGCACACTGTCTGAAGTCCTTCTAGGCAACTGAATTCTACCGGTTGGAGCTCTGAACTCCTGCGAAGCAAGAAAACAAAGCCAAGGGTGCTGGGAAGGAACACTGGCTGTGGAACTGGGCGCTTCCCAAACAAGACAACGTCTTACTGGGCGCAGAGGACGACTTACAGAAGACCAGAGGAAGTGGCCTCTCCCGCCGCCCCCCGCCGAGTACTGCAAACCAGAAAACACCCTCATCAGCCACTGAGTCTGCGCACTGAGAAGGCTGGAACTTTTCAATGTTTTACTGGCCGGACAAAGTTGCTAAATTCCTAACAACCCTCAGGTGCGCGGCCGAAGTGTCTTTGAGCGTTCACGCTGGATCATTTCGCCACGCGCTCGGTGTGACTCGTAGCCTAGCGGGTACGCGCCTGCAGGTGAATGTCTGTTCTGCTGGCTAAGCGAGGACGCGCCCCTCCCCTAGCCGTTTCTGACTCCTCCACACATGTTCATAAACACTGGACACGTGGAGATTCCCAGCCAAGGTTCCAGTCCCGAGTTAGTGATCAACCCCATTGATTTATAAACAATTCAGCCACTCCCAGAAGAGCTTTGCTCCTCGTTAGTCATGATGAATTTTTTTTTTTTTTTTTTTTTTTGGCTTGCTCCATTCTGCTATCTAGATTAAGATGCTCCGAGGTCCTAAAATGCTCACTCTGAGCGTCAATTTGGCTGAAAGAGCCTACGCTAGCTCCACCCGGCGCCGGGCTAGGGCAAAGAGGTAGGAAGACCTTTCATGCTCCTCAGGTCTTTTCCTTTACTCGCAATAACTTTTGATTCGCTGTGCCGGGCCTGAGTGTGGCGTTCTCCAGACTGTGCCCGCCAGTCCCTCTGCTCAAGCCCGAGTTTGAGCTTGGGTCAACCCAAGCTCGCAGGAAGCTGGTGGAAACTGACGACAGACACCTAACTCCTTAGGAATTGGAGGCGCGATGCTCTGTGGTTGGCCAGATCCCCGGCTGTGGGTGCACTGGTCCTGGATCTCACTAGGGAGTTTATTTACCATTACAGAATGCTGAACTAGCCAGCACTGATAACACTAGACTAACCTTGGCCCCCGGAGCCCTCTGAAGTTGCTGCTTAGAAAGGACTCCCTAGCATCAGTCCACCCATTTTCGTTCCTTTTGCAGCAAAAGACGCAAAAGTTGCCCAGGCAGGCCTGCAGCCGGATGCAAACGCGCACAGCTCCAGCAGCATGGCTTTCCAGAGCCACACTCCGCAGCTCCGCCAGTCCGAGACTGCTCACTCTTCTCCGAGACTCCGCAGGCTCGCACAAGGCGAAGGTCTGCCCAGGAAAGCTACTGATTCTCTGAACCGTAACCTCTGTGAGCACCCGAGTGTCAGTGTGATGCACAGTTCCAGAGTTTTGTTTCCAGTTCAGAGCGCTGAGCTATTAGAGTAACACCGTGCAACTGGAGTTGCTCAAAATCCAGGGCGTAGGTTGAGCCTCCCTCTCCCCGAGTCTTGAGAATGAGACTGGGATAAAACTGGATCTGGAGCTTAAGGGATCTTTGCTACTAAGGGAAGGTGAGGGTCTTTATTTGAGGACAAAGGTATCTACACACCCGAGAGCACAGGGCACCTGTGCGCTGTAATTCTAACCACAGTAGGAAAGAAGGCTTCCATGGGAGATTTTAGTCTGGCTTTAGCTCTCACTCTAGGTTTAAACGACATTGAAGAGCGCGCGCACGCGCGCGCACTAGTGTGTGTGTTTGTGTGTGTGTGTGTGTGTGTGTGTGTCCCCCCAGAAGAATGAAAATCGAACTCCTGCTGACTCGCTGTGACCCAGCCTTTCTCTTCCACTATTCACGCCCCCAAAAGAGACCTATTGGGAAGAGAAAGTAGACTCCCTCCCAGGCAAGTCTTCCAAGCGGCTGTAGTCCACCAGAGCTCCTGGACCGCCCCGCAGCCGGGCTTCTCTGCTTGGGAGACAGATGGGGGGCGGGGCCCATCCGAAAGGGGCGGTGGAGGCCGAGGACAGAAGAGGAGAGGGGGGTGAGAACTAAGAGAATCGGAGTCGCTGGGCTGGGGGTGGGGGTACCAGAGGAAGAGCTGAGAAGACTAGGAGCCCGAAGGAAGAGGAAGGGGGGGTGGAGCTCTGCACCAATCAGTTGTGCCGGCCTGGGAGGTTGCTAGCGGTATCCACGTAAATCAAAGGGCGCAGAGCCAATGGGAGGGGGTGTAGGGGGCGGGGCCCAGGCGCGTGCCGCTGCGAGCGGGCTCTGCCAAGAGAGCGGGAGAGAGCTTGAGAGCGCGGGGAGAGGGGGGAGCGCCCAGCGAGTCAGAGAGTGAGAGAGAGCGAGAGGAGGGAGAGGAGGAGAAAGAGCGAGGGCGGGCGGGCGGGAGGCAGCGCGGCAGCGGCAGTAATAGCAGGAGCAGCAACAGAAGGCGTCGGAGCGGTCGTCGGAGCTGCCCGCTAGGGGAAAGAAAAAGAGGGAGAGGGAGAGAAGCGGGGCGAGCAAGGAGAGAGAGCCCGAGGCGGAAAAGTAACTGTCAAATGCGCGGCTCCTTTAACCAGAGCGCCCAGTCCGGCTCCGAGAGTCATGGCGACCGCAGCGTCTAACCACTACAGCCTGCTCACCTCCAGCGCCTCCATCGTGCACGCCGAGCCGCCCGGCGGCATGCAGCAGGGCGCAGGGGGCTACCGCGAGGCGCAGAGCCTGGTGCAGGGCGACTACGGCGCGCTGCAGAGCAACGGGCACCCGCTCAGCCACGCTCACCAGTGGATCACCGCTCTGTCCCACGGCGGCGGGGGCGGCGGCGGCGGCGGCGGTGGAGGAGGCGGGGGAGGCGGCGGGGGAGGCGGCGACGGCTCCCCGTGGTCCACCAGCCCCCTAGGCCAGCCGGACATCAAGCCCTCGGTGGTGGTACAGCAGGGTGGCCGAGGCGACGAGCTGCACGGGCCGGGAGCGCTACAGCAGCAGCACCAGCAGCAGCAGCAGCAGCAGCAACAGCAGCAGCAGCAGCAACAGCAGCAGCAGCAACAACAACAGCGACCGCCACATCTGGTGCACCACGCCGCCAACCACCACCCCGGGCCCGGGGCATGGCGGAGTGCGGCGGCTGCAGCTCACCTCCCTCCCTCCATGGGAGCGTCCAACGGCGGTTTGCTCTACTCGCAGCCCAGTTTCACGGTGAACGGCATGCTGGGCGCAGGAGGGCAGCCGGCTGGGCTGCACCACCACGGCCTGCGAGACGCCCACGACGAGCCGCATCATGCAGACCACCACCCGCATCCGCACTCTCACCCGCACCAGCAACCGCCCCCGCCACCTCCCCCACAAGGCCCACCGGGCCATCCAGGCGCACATCACGACCCGCACTCGGACGAGGACACGCCGACCTCAGACGACCTGGAGCAGTTCGCCAAGCAGTTCAAGCAGAGGCGGATCAAACTAGGATTTACTCAAGCAGACGTGGGGCTGGCGCTGGGCACCCTGTATGGCAACGTGTTCTCCCAGACCACCATCTGCAGGTTTGAGGCCCTGCAGCTGAGCTTCAAGAACATGTGTAAGCTGAAGCCTTTGTTGAACAAGTGGTTGGAAGAGGCAGACTCGTCCTCGGGCAGTCCCACCAGCATAGACAAGATCGCAGCGCAAGGGCGCAAGCGGAAAAAGCGGACCTCCATCGAGGTGAGCGTCAAGGGGGCTCTGGAGAGCCATTTCCTCAAATGCCCCAAGCCCTCGGCCCAGGAGATCACCTCCCTCGCGGACAGCTTACAGCTGGAGAAGGAGGTGGTGAGAGTTTGGTTTTGTAACAGGAGACAGAAAGAGAAAAGGATGACCCCTCCCGGAGGGACTCTGCCGGGCACCGAGGATGTGTACGGGGGGAGTAGGGACACGCCACCACACCACGGGGTGCAAACGCCCGTCCAGTGAACTCAAGAGGGGGAGGGGCAGAGCGTGGGGCTCTCCCTCCCCTCGGTCCTTGGTCCTTCCCCCGACCTCTGTTTCCCCCTCTAACTTCTGATCATTTTTTTGTTTTGTTTTGTTTTTTAATTATTATTTTCCCGGTCCCTTAAAAAAAAAAGAAAAACATAGTGAAAATAAGGGAAAAGGAAAGGAACGAAGACACTGGACTATCCTATAACAGGTAGCAGGTGTAATGATGGGTTTTGACCTTTTGCAAACAAGTACCCAGAAAATGAAGAAGAATGTCTCCTTGTGAGAGAGGCGGAGTAGGGTGCGTGTGTGTGTGTGTGTGTGTGTGTGTGTGTGTGAGAGAGAGAGAGAGAGAGAGAGAGAGACAGAGACAGAGAGAGACAGAGAGAGACAGAGAGACAGAGAAAGAGTCCAGGAAAAACTAAGTAAATTACCAAAATGAAAAAAAAAATCCACCAAACCGTAACTGCAGCCTCCCAATGCTCAAAGCTGACACGTGCTGCTGTGTTTATTTAACATGGGTCCCCATCAGGAAAGAGGGAAAAATACACTTTTTTAATATAGGCAAATTTTAACCACATAAATTTGCACTGTAAGAAAATTGAAGTTTACAATAACAAGTTCAGCATTCTTTTTTCTCAATACCCACTATTAATTTTGAAACTGTCCTTTTGAGTTGTTTTGTTTTGCCTTATCCAGCAGAGGACAGAAGCCAGATCTTGGCCACCCTTCACTTCTAGTGTTCTGATGTCCCTTGTTGGTATTGCTTGTGACCTTTGGTTTTCTTCAACCCCACCCTACCCCACTCCAGACCTGGTGTAACATTGATTGGCCCTTTTCCTTAAAGTGGAGTGATTGGCTTCATATAAAATAAATAAATGTTTGCATTCAGGAAATGTGTATGGTTTGCCCGCTTTATGCACGGCAGAAAGACTGTTTGGAGTACAAATGTAAGAGTCGAGCACTGTTTTTTTGTAAACCAGAGTAAACTTCATTTTCAGGCAGTGTTTCTGGGTAGAGGAGAAAAAGAAAAATCAATAGTGAGTGACCGTTCACTTCATTTTATCAGGCAGGGCAGTTGTGAAGAAGCTCAGAAGAAATGTGAAGTTAAATATATTGCTAGAGTTGGAAATGGGGACCTCTGAAGGGAATTGGAAAACACAGTGTAGTGCTCTGCCTTTGGGTTCAATAACTTAATTATAAGGGATTAGTTGTGATGATAGCAGTGGTTAAACTTTGTCCCTTTATTAGGGTCTTAAAAAAAAAAGTAAAGAAAACAACCCAGGAACTTGATAACATATGTATAAACTATGTTTCTCAGCACACAATTGCATACAGCATATATATACATATATGTGCATACAGCATATATATATACATATATATGATAGGTTTTGTCTTCAACAGTTCATTTGTTTACCAAGTCATATTTTAGGTCTTATACCATCTTTCCCCATAATTTATTACAGAAAGGTATCAGTTCATCTTGGACAGAGTTATCTTTTTTCACCAAGGAAGACAAATGAGGAGGGACATTTCCAACACTTACTTTCTCCCCCTTTGTTAAGAATTTTTCAGTGCATTTTTTTCCTTGTCTTCATGGGAAATGGTTTACTCCCACTCCCAACACAATAGAATATTCTGGAAGGTGAGGGACAAAAAAGAAACCAAAAAATTACAAACAAAAAGCTTTTGAGTATATTAAAATTAACACCACTAAACTGTGACCAGTTTAAAAAAAATAGTTATCAGCACAAAAGGGCAGTAAAAGGGAAAAGACTTTTTTAGTAACCTTCAATGTTTGGGTTTTATTTCTTTGTTAGGTATCAGATAAATGTTTACTTTTTAAAAAATAAATTCTCACTACCATGAAAATATGGTTCAACATCAGACTAGCATTGCACTCAGTAGTTAAGGTTTTAGGAAATATGCTTTATCCAATATTGTCTTTTCAAACACCAGTAATTGTTTCATTTTCAATGTTTTTGCAAGATAAATGGTGACTTATAATGGGCATATTTATTTGCCTGTATTTCATTTCCCCCAATGAATGTCACAGGAGATGGCATAGAGCTATTTCAGGTTATATCACACTGCTTGCTCCTGATATGTGGGGACTAGCCTTCAGTGAAGCAATTCAGAGGAGGGCAAATAGCCAATGGTAAAAGGAGGAAATGAATTTGCAGATACTTATTACCAAGTAGGTAAGGTTAGAAGCTGGGGTTCCAAGGAGGTGTCGGAGGTGTCTATAGCTTCTCTTGCTCTCATAGGCTTACAAGAATGAAAGTTACCACTGAACCTTACCATATGTATATATGTTTAATATCTGTCTTTTGAAATGCAGAAATAGTTTAAATGTTTCTTTGTCTATTTTTCTTTTTTCTTTTTTTAATGCTACCCAGGGAAATATTTTCATATCGTTTTACGTGGCCTGCCTCAATGTATATTTATTTCTTTTGGAGCAAAAGGTTCTGAAAACTGGTTTTCTGTAGCTTTAAATGAGTAGGTAGCAAGATCTATATGGGATGTCATTTTTTTTTTTTTTTGTTCAGCTTCTTTTTTAAAAATGCGTTGTTTTGGTACATTTGATTGTGCTTGTGGGGAAAATAAAAGTGCAGAGATCCTTATATATTTATGTTAAAGTAATATTTTATTATTACATAAAACAGAAATGCACAATACCTTCATAGTTTGTTCTAATTATTGAAATATCTTTATTTTATTTTTGAAGATAGTGCCAAGTTCTAAGAGGGGGAGAAGCCCTACCTAGACCTTATACTTACTGAGCTGAGTTGTGTATAAAAACACTTCCCTTCCTTTATACTTCATAAAGTTTTGGAATAAATTTTATGCATATATTGCCACCTTTCATGTTTATACTTCCAGAGACATTTGCTTTTTCTTTCTTTCTTTCTTTCTTTCTTTCTTTTTTTTTCTCTCTCTCTCTCTTTTTTTTTAATGAAGACTACTGTTTGGACTTTTCTTTTCAGTAACTATCATGGATCCCAAATATTTCCTTCACTGCCTTATAGCATTAAGTCAAAGTAGTCATTGGGTTTGAGCATCAATTTGTTTGCCATTTCCTGGACCAACAAAAAAATTTGCCTTGCAAATACATGCCCATGTCCCTACACCTTCCAGGTTAGCTGCACCTTTGCCAATGACTTGTTTAGAGAAGCATCCGTGGAACTAGGTGGACTTCAGCCTCTACTCACATGTCATTAGATAATTTGGGATCTTCAGAAGAGTGAGACTTAGCTAGAAATTAGTCTTCATAACTAACAAATATCTTTCAACAACAAAAATGCCATTTATGTGTTTACCAAATAATTAAAAGTAGATACTATGTATGATTCCTCTTAGATTTACAGGGAAAGATACTTTTTACAAAAGTGTTTTACAACAGTTTCTTTCTTATTAGGCAAACAACAACAACACACTCCAAATTTAAAAAGAAAGGAAAGCATGTATTGAAAAGATTCAAGCTGTAGTACTAATGGTTTCTTTCGGGTATTAGATAAAGCACTGCACTTAAAAAACAAAATCAAACAAAAGAGCTTCTGATCAAAGTTAGTGAGTTGTTCAAACGTGCTGGATTACTTTATAAGTTTGCTGGTGTATTTAAAGTCCTCCCTGGAACACTGACTTAAAATATAAATGTCCATTTAGGAAAGTAGTTTCTGGGCTTATTAGCTCTGATCATCCTTTCTAATTCCTAGTCAATATTACATGGGTCCCAAACAGATTCTGCCAAATGATCTTATCAATAGCCTGAACAAGAAGTGACAGAAAGAAGAAGTGTTTTGTGACCGCAGACATGCTGATGGGTAAAATGTTTAAGCTAGGTATAGATTTGAGTTCTGGGTCAATAGCCCTCCGCTGAAGGCAGAAAGCAAGCCGCATCTGCCCTCTGCAGGGCAGTTTAGTGGACCTTGGAAGGCATTTTTGTTTTTAGCCACAACAGTTAAGAAAGGACAGGGAAATCTCACTTATTAAACTGACACATTGTATTCTTGACTCATGCTGGCCATTGGGGTCCTAAAGATGTTCTGGTAGCTTCCATGCCTGTCTTAGAATGCACTGCCCACTACTTAAAAAGAGTCAGAGCCACTATTACAAATCTGTGGGGCAATTGTGAGATGTTGGGAAGCCATCTCTATCCTAAAAATAAAAATGCAGTGTTTGTGTTTGCTCAAAACATGCCATATTTTAGAATATATATATATACATATATATATATATATATATATGAGGAAATGATCATATCAGAAAGAGTATGTGAAGGTCATAGAGAAGGAATGACCACAAATAATATTATGCTTGGTGATTTTAAACATTTTTAGTTCCCATGAAGAAATGTCCTTTATGTTTCAGATACCAGCAACAAAACCACCTCTCTCTTCCCTCTCTCCTCCTGCTCCTACAGAGGAGGCCACACACTGTTTATCAGAATTTTCTGGTGAAATGATTTTGATGAAGGCTCACATCTATCTTCTTATTTCTTAAAAAAAAAAAAAAAAAAACTAATAAAACCAGAGGACAGTAAAGGTGGTGATGTCTCTTGCATGCATGTCCTGGTCCTGGTTGCGAACATGTGCTGTCTTCACTGGTCTTTTAGATTCCTTGTGGGTACTTTAGCTTCTTGGATAGTGTGCTGGGGAGCCTGATGAGATTATTTTTTTTGTTTCTTCTCCTCTCTTTGGTTTGTCTTTGTTGATTTCTCAATCAATTCATGGAACTATGTTCTACATTCTATTGAATTAATTCCTGTACAAATTAAAGAATGGGTGAAGGATGAAGTTTGTACAGAAAGAGAAGAAGAAGGGAGGTGAAGTGAGGGCATCTTTGGTTCTCCTTGAGTGTTTCAGTAGTAAAGCACAGGACTGGTGTTTATTTCAAGTGAAGGGGGGGGGTCTGCATCCACAAGTACCAAGGATCTTGACAATGTGACTAATGGTCTATTCATCTGGGTTTTTAGATAAATATTTTCTCTTTAGAAAAGTTTATTTTTTAAAACGATACAGTCTCTGAATAGGATTCAAATGGCAGTTGGCCTGCACTGGAACTTCCTCATGGCTATTTCCACCACTT